ATACTACAAATTATGAGTAATTGCAGTGTGAAAATTTGTTTTTTCCACTCTTATTTGAGGCTATAAACAAATAGCGATTGAGCGTTCAGAAGGGTGTGGCGCCATGTATGTAAGAGAGCTGTTGCCTTCTTACAGGCGTTTAATACATAATCTTGACGCATACTCTTCATTTACAGACCAAAGAAACGATGAAAACTGAACGAAACATTAACAAATTAATGAAAATTTCCAATATTGCAATAATTAAAATTATTATACAAGTTTAAGGAATAATAATTATAAAAACACCTAAATTATACGATGTTACGATTTTAATACAAGTAAGTATAAACTTTTTTATTATCATTTATAAATAAAACTAATATAATTTCGCTAATTTTTTTCATATAAATCGTATAATAATGTTTACAAAGCAAATTAGAATTAACCATGCAAACATTATATCTTTGATATTTCAAATTTTCCGCGCCTTTTTAATGTATTTTGTTTTAAACGATTGTCATTTATTTTTAAAACTTGTTTGTAGTCGCGCTTCAAAATTACACTGAAGATGTAGAATTATTAACGTTCATGTCACAAGATGAATAGCTTAATTAAATCAGATCTTTGCATTATTTGTCAAAAAAATTTTAATTTTAATTATTGTAATGGTTCAAATATTCATTAAATTGTTAATGTTTCGTTCAGTTTTCATCGTTTCGTTGGTCTAGAAATGAAGAGTAGGTACGCGTCAAGATCGTGTATTAAACGCCTGTAAGAAGGCAACCGCTCTCTTACATACATGGCGGCGCAACCTTCTGAACGCTCAATCGCTATTTGTTTATAGCTTCAAATAACAGTGGAAAAAAGAAATTTTCACACTGCAGTTACTCATAATTTGTAGTATTTAACGTGAACTTTCAAACGCCGTAAGCAGAATTACAAAATACCTATTCAATCAAAAGTTATTAACAACTGAAAATCGCAAAAATTGCATTTTTCGAGTTTTTAACGACGTTTATCTCGAAAGCTATGCGTTTAACAAAAAAATTGCAAGAGACATTTTCTTCTTAAAATGAGTCAAATAACAAGAAAACCAAAAACTAAGTTCCCAGTATTTTGCAAGTTTTTTGTTAATAAAAAACTTATCTACATCCGAGCAAACTTCTACCCAAAAAATTCGTGTTCTGTAGCTCAAAATACACAAAAAACACTTGGGTAACTCCATCTAAATGAAGGAGGCAATTGGGAGCCCCCTGGCTACAGTACTAGTTCATATGTGGGGATAAAAGTCGGGTTATAAGGTGATTGTGGATAAAATAACTTTAACGATCATTATTTTCGTATGGCACCTCAATAAAACCTTTGTTTTAAAACTAAATCATAACAACTTTGAAAAAAGTATATATGCATCTTTTGAATAAAACTAGAAATCGAGTATCGAGGTTGTTTATGTTGCACATACAAGAACAGAAAATATACTCGTGTTTATTCTAATACTTTTAATATTTTTGAAACAATGCTGGAAATGAACTACTAGATTTTACACAGCGTTAGGCAAAGGATAAACAAAGGCAACAAGGTAAAAAATAAAATGAAATAACCAAAATAATTTATACGATTTTTACATTTTTCAAAACACATTGTTTATTTGCAGATATACTATAGTAATGTTTACTTTGCTTTCTTTTCATATTTATATTGATTAAAATTTAATTCATGATTTGTTCAACACTTCCTTATTATCATATTGAAATAACATTATTTAAGATATTTTTCATTGAGATTTCCTAATTTGTGTTACAATAGTTAATCAAAATGTATTTCTTGCTATAGGTTGTGTAAAAAAAACAATAAACTGCGAAAAGTATTAGGCCAAATTAAAGGTGTAATACCGCTAAAATTATAATCAAACATTTTTCAAAGATTTTAAACTATAAAACATGTTTATTTCTGAGGATTGATAGGAAGTCTATTTAACTGACATCAATGGCCAATATTTTCAATAATATGTATGTAGAAGGTAATAAATATCTAAGTAATTAGCATTGATAAAAGTTTTGAATAGTTGTGGTCCAATAAAAGATCCTTGAGCGGTACCAAATATGGCCCAGTAATAGATAGACTACAGTCTTTAAACAGAACAAATATCGAAATCTATTAGACAAATACGATGCTAATAATTTGAGGGAATTCTACAAACCAAATATATTGAGTTTTGTTTGCAATATTCCGTGCTCAAGTCTGTGGAATACCTTCGATAAAATGTGAATAAATTACAGCTGTTGAAGAGGTTATTCATTGGAAAATGAAAATGGAACTTGGAGAGTTTGCATTTAATAATTATTATGAGTTGAAGATAACGAATGAAATGACATAGAATTATGCGGGTTGGACACGTAAACAATGAGATCAATCAACACTTATGTGTCGACCTTACTTTTATATATAAGATAATCCTTAACTAATCCGGCTAACTTTGTAGATATTATTACTTAGTAATTCCATAAAGATACAAAATGTTGAAATCCTGAAGCCTGATAGTACGTTAATAGTTGGTTTTATTTTGCACTAAATATTTTCAAGCGATCGTTAATTATTCGCTCCCAATATATTTTAGCACTATTTTTAAGGTTATGTCCTCCTTTTTTAATGCAGATTTTATTTCTACATGTTAGAATTCACAAAACTGTAATTTTATTTTTGGCTTGTATCACATTTTTGCAACTGTTTTCGATTAATCACTGTCTTGCAATTTTAGAATGTAGGTACTACTGTTTGGACAAAACTGGACTAAACATTTAGAAGTAACAATATCTACTCATACACTTTCTGCCTTACCGTAAAAAACATACTGTACATTGATCCTATTTTCGACAATAGCAATTAGTATGCAATCAAGTTTAAGAGATGATATTGATTGTTACAAAATTAATGGCAACAATGTTTTAAAATTGATGTCAGCAGCAAAACGGTTTATCCTTCAAAAAGTTATAGTCGCTGAAAAAGGCATCTTCATTCAAATTATGCATATGTTCGTTTAATTATTACATCCGTTTTTTCTTAATAGTATAAAACAGTAACACACATTTGCTATAGATTTTACATCGATGTTATTGTCTGCATAATTTCAAAGCGTCTGGTATACGTTAGAAAGCAAACTGCAATTAAATTTCAAAATTCATCACACATTTTCCCACTTATTTTTTCGCTAAACAATATACATACTATCTAGATCAAGAAATTGGTTTTATATTCATTGTCTACATACATATTCTTATTTATGGTTGATTACCATACAGATGGACTTATTAAATAGTTATGAGTTTTTTATTAACTATTGAAGAAATTTAATAGTCAAAACCAATTTACAAGCTTTCTTATTAGAAAAAAAATGTGCCTTGACTAAATGGATTTGACGAAGGTAACAGAAAAACAATTATAACAATTATTTGTGATGACATAGGTGAGAGATTTAAGTTTATTGGTGTTACAATCTTGACCATAGAACGCAACAATACGCATTTATGCGATACACAACAATGCAACAATAGAAGTCAGGATGAGACCCATGTCTATGTATTCGTACATTGAAGGAATCAGTAGAGCTATAGAGCCGTTTTGTAGGAAAGATAACTATTTAAATAAAGTATTTTTCTAGTCTGTAAAGATTGCATTTTAAATCGATTTATGACGTCTATTTGGGTATTCATAGAACTAGTGAGTAATAGTATATTACATAATAAGTGGTAACTAGATTATTACTATATACACCTACGAATAAATCAAAGTCCGTATCAAAGTTGTCTGCTCAAACAGGTAACTTTTTTTGTTAAGTTCTGTACATATTCTCAAATTCAGTTTCTGTCTCTAAAATATATTAATTTTGAAATTTTTATTTGATTTCGCGATTACATTGAGGTATAGATAATATCCTAAAATTTTCATTTTAAGGTTTTCAGTTGGAACATGCATAAAGCTTTAAAGAAACAACTGCATTTACATTCATGAAAGTTAACTGTTGTACAGGAATATTACTTTCCATAGATTATGGAAGATAATTACAGTACTGTGAGTGGTTTATAGAAAACATGAAACACTTACGAAGTATGGTTTCACATATCAGGTTCTGTAAATAGCGAAAATTATAGAACCTGGGCGCCAGAAAATCCTAATCCTCATACATTTGTAGAAGAAACCAGTTTTTACCCCTAAAAAGTAGGCGTTTGTCAAGCGATATCAAGAAGACATACAGGGTTTGTATTTTTCAATGAAACTATAAATGGTGAAAGATATCTAGCCATTATTTTATGCCCACACACGTCGCTTGTAATCATTTCGCCCCTTTTATCACGTAGGGGCGTATAATCCAAAAAAAAAAAAATGGATACGCCTCTACGTGATAATAGGGACGATTTATGAAGGCACTGTATTTTATTTAGAATATAAAGAGTTAAATTTCTCCTTATTTAATATTTATTACGATTTTTGTATAACTTGAACCTTTATTTGTTTTGTTCTACAATTGGAACACTCGTTGTAGTGACTGAGTGGTAGTATAACTTCGAACCACAGCCTCCCCGATCTCCATCTCGTGCGATGTCCAGATAAAAACTGTCCCACAAGTGATTCGCGCCTCAAGGCCGTTCCTGGCGGTTCCGTATGGCTCCGCGATGACCCCGAGAGTCGTAACGGACCCGCAAGGACAGGTCAGTCGGCCACCAGAGCTAAGTACGCGTCCAATTCACGCAAAGACCGCGCCTAGCATCCTCGATATGTAAAATGCATTAGTAAAAAAGCCCAAACAGAATCTATTGACTTAAATTAGAGGTTTCTAGCGGATGTCACGGTGATCGAAATAGCATTGATGTAAAATAAAAGTGGCGAACATGATTTGTTTCAAGAACGACTGTGTGCAGTAAGGTCCAGTCGGCATATACAGGGTGTTTTTTTAGGAGCGAAAAATTCTACAAGTTACAGTTTAAATAATCGAACTCTGGCAATATTTCCAATAAATAACTATGCGGACTACAGCCCCGCCCAAAATTGAATTACGTCCGCAATATCTAGTAAGCAGGTAAGATCATTCGTCAACAAAATCACCAGGCAGACACCGCCTTTGAACTTATCAGTTGTTGTTATCAGTATGCCATAGGTGAGACAACTGACGAATGATCCAGTTGTTTGGTTGTGTTACATCTTGAGTTGCTTTGAGTGTGGGTAAGATGTAACCTTCAAAGCATGTCATATCTTAACTAACAAAACTGTAAATGTTTCCCACAATGTCTTTAGACAAAAACTTTATTTCAGTTAGTACGACCCTAGGTCATCCCATCATAGTACATATAGATTACAAATAGGAAGTCACACTCTGTCTGCAGATACAAAGTAATGCTTGTATCAATAGGCATTGAATAACAGTGACACACATTGTAGATTATATATCTCCCAAATTCCATGTGGTTACTCAAATAAATTAAACTTAATATTTTTTTTGTTACAGCTGACAACACTGGCCGAAGAAGTAGAGGTTATAGAGGCGATCCCCAGCTCTGATGACGCGAAAGACCACACGAAAAATGAAAACGAAGCGAACCTCGACCAACTGGCGATGGAATCGATAGACGACCAGGAACAACCACCGAAGAAACTAGCTTACAACGGCCCACCCAGAAACCAAAACCTTCCTCCTAGGAATAACGGCGCATACCACAACCACAAGCCGTTTGGGATGCAAAAAAACAAACCGGTCTACGAGAATAAGAATTCCTATAGCGGGCCACCCCCTCCGCCACCCAAGCAGGCTATGGATAAGTACGGAACGGCTGGTGGCGACATCTGGCCAGCTCCTGTTCCAGATATGCCGAAGATCATATCGCTTGATGTGAAGTGTGAAAAGAATCTTATGAAGGTTTACATCGGTTTTGACAAGCCTTTTTATGGAATAGTGTTCAGCAAGGGACACTACAGCAACGTACATTGCGTCCACTTACCAGCAGGTTTAGGCAGAACTTCAGCCCACTTCGAAATAGGTATCCACGCCTGTGGAACATCCGGAAACTCAGAAAATGGTCTCTACGGTTATGGAGCTGAGTCTGGGTCAGGAACATACTTTGAGAATATTATAGTTATCCAATACGACCCTCAGGTACAAGAAGTGTGGGATCAAGCTAGGAAATTGCGTTGTACCTGGCACGACCAATACGAAAAATCTGTGACTTTCCGTCCATTCCCCGTGGATATGCTAGACGTGGTACGCACAGACTTTGCAGGTGACAATGTGGGATGCTGGATGCAGATACAAGTCGGTAAGGGACCCTGGGCCTCAGAAGTATCTGGCCTAGTAAAGATAGGTCAAACCATGACGATGGTACTAGCCATCAAAGACGACGATTCCAAATTTGATATGTTAGTGAGGAACTGCATGGCTCACGATGGTAAACGAGCTCCTATTCAATTAGTTGACCAAAGGGGTTGTGTCACAAGACCGAAGCTCATGTCAAGGTTTACCAAAATCAAGAATTTTGGTGCCAGTGCATCAGTTCTCTCGTACGCCCATTTCCAGGCGTTCAAATTTCCAGATTCTATGGAAGTTCACTTTCAATGTACCATCCAGATCTGCAGGTACCAGTGCCCCGATCAATGCTCTGATCCTAACGGACATATAGGCCTCCACAATGGTATTTTGGAGATACCTCACAGTGCTCCTGACTCTGGTTATGGTTTGCCTCCACCGCCTGCTTTGCCTATTGAAGCTTACCTCCATGGAGGTAGACCTAGAGACGAAAGAAGAAGTAAGAGAGAACTAGAATCTGATCCTGAAAAAGAAGTAGGAGTGAACAGGATAATCAGGGTAGTTTCCACAGGAGACTTAACATTTTCCTTGGACGAAAATAACAACACAACCACACCACCAACCATGGTGTTCCCAGGGAAAGAAGAACTCAGCAACACTGGCCTAATATGTATGACAACACCAGGTTTTGCTGCTATTTTAGTTGTACTGTTGGCAATACTGATAATATCTTGTCTGCTATCTGCTTTCCTGTGTGTCAGATTAAGACCTTTCTCTGAAAATAAACTAGCAGGTGTCATAGGCTACACGAGTTCGCAGAAAGGAAAGCAACCTACAGTAAAAAGTTGTTTTTATTCTTGAATATGAAAGAACTATTTCAGGGATGTTATTCTAGTGAAAGGATACATGTTTGGTCGCACCTAAAAAAAGATTTATTAATATTTCGTATTGATAAACCTTTTGAATCTTGGAAGTCCTGGATTGATAATGATCAAGCATAGTATCCAATGATTTTCCGGTTTTTCGGAAAGTTTTATGTTTTATTAGATGTTAAGATTATCTAGCTAGACACGTTTGGGTCGCGTCTGTAAAAATTTGTTTCACTTTGAACGCTTGTAAATATGTCAAAATTTTGGAAAGGTAGGATGGTTTTGGTTAAAATAAAAAATGTAGATCTAGGTTAGTTATTAAATTATTTATTTATTTATTTAAATACAAAATATTTATAAACAGTATGTACCTGTATAGAACTAATGATTTAAGACTATTTTTTCGATTTAAGCAAAGTTATGCGTCGATTATATTTATTACGTAATTATTTAATATTCTCAAGAAAAAGTTTACTGTCGGCTTTTTGTATGTACGCAAAGAAAACTATGAAGACAGTTTCATTTAGATAAATTTGTAGACGAAAAAATTTAAATGAAAGAATACAAAAGATCTGGCGAATTTGATGGAAAATATCTATAAAACTTATGTTAAAATGTATTCCGTTTTTCTTCCAAATAAAGAATCATAAATTATTTATTTATTCATTATCATATTAATTTATAAAACCTTTACTCCCTCGAAATCCTATTTTCAGTTATTAAATGATCCATAAACCTAACACACTGTACATACAATGTGATTTTAAGAATGTAGCAGGAGGTGGAAAATGTTCTTTTAAGGAAAAAGTTTCGTATGGGTGATGCTTTATAAAAAAAGTACATGTATGCTACAAAAACGTATTTTATAAAATGAGTTGGGGAATAAGTAATGTCTATTTTCTTCAATTTTAAAAATTCACATGAAAATTAAACACATTGTCAAGTTGACACGTCATTCGAAAGAGGATTTATCGCTCTATCAGATTGTGGTTTTGTTTGCTTTGTTAAATTTTGGGAATTTTCATTTATTTGAAATGGAATATCAAGTTGACAAGATTGATCATTTTTGGCACTTGCTTGTTTTTGTTTTTAATTGTGATGGGGAAAACGTTAAAGCCGCTCAAGCTACTGGGGGTCCTGAACAAAACCAACGGAAAAAGACTTTTCGTCAAATTGCTTGAAACTGTGAGCACGTCTTCGCTCGAGTAAAATCAAAAATCGCCGTACCTACTCAGCAATCCTCACTCTCAACGAAGATAAGCTGATTCTCCGAGAATTTATACATCCATCAACAATTGCCATCACGAGGATCTATTATCTCAATGTTGTTGAGTAAGTACGGCGATTTTTGATTATACTCGAGCGAAGACGTGCTCACGTTCGCACGCATACACTCACGTACACGCATACGTATACATTTACACACACAGGCGTACTCGCGCGGGTGCAAGCACGCACGCACCAACACACATGGAGTCAAACTTCATGACCACACCGTTGACCCTGGATAAAGCTAAGTGCAGATTTGGCTATATTGACTCACGTCAACTCCGAAACCGTGCATAGGAGGAGGTCGGTTCCATGGGGATTTTGCTCTACATCATATCACTTACTTGATCTCACAGTTTCTAGCAATTTAACGAAAAGTCTTTTTCCATTGGTTTTGTGCGGGATCGTTCATGCCATATGTCGATTTGCAACCACGAAACACTAAGCGATATCGAATATCCGCCAACAAGACGCATGAACGGACGGCTTGTCGATGGTTTTTACGTTTTAATGGTCGTTACGTTTAACTGAATCGTTCCAGAATTTGATGAAGAGCAACTGAATCGACTCCTTCACGAAAATCCATTACAATCAACGAAGGGATTGGCTCAGGAGATGGGATATTATCACAAAGCAGTACTAAATTGTGGGTCTCATATGATTTAAACGAAAACTATAAGAATCAACGCTCTGGTTTGTTCTGTCGTCATCGATCAACATGGAGTCGCAAAGAACGTTTTCTTTATCATATTGTCAATGGTGATGAGAAATGGTGTCTGCACGTTAACTCTAACATCCTCGAAAGACAATGTTATGCGTTTGGTGGGATTGGAAAGGGATTCTTTATTATAAACTATTACCAAACAATCAAACCGTCAACGCAAAACTCTATGTTCAACAACTACTGCGACACCATCCGGCTGTTCAAAAAAAAGACCTTATTGGTGATACGATATTCTTTTGCAACATGGCAATGCGCGATCACATATCACCAATATAACCAAAACAGACATTCGGGAGTTGAATTGGGAAATTCTGCCCCACCCACCTTACTCTCCCTTCTTTCACTTCTTCCACCCTTTATGATACTCCTTACGCGGTATTTCTTTTAAGAAGGACGACCATGAGTTAAGAGCTTGTTTGGATGGGTTTTTCGAATCAAAACAGGAGAATTTTTATAGAAAATTGTTGAATGTTGGAAGGTCATAAAGAACGACAGAGAATACATCACTGATTAGCCTACTGATAATAATTGTAGAGTTAAAATTGAAGAAAAATACATTACTTATTCCCACAGTGACATATTGACAATCTAGTGGAAGAATAGCATTCTTCCATAGTAGTTTTGGAGATGCAGAGGACAATCAAAGGGTTCCTTTTATGAAAAGCGTATCATTCGTGACATTTTCAGGAAAACAATAAATTTTTCAAAAGGGGCATTTCAAATAACACCAAAAGGTATATTGTTCAAATCTGATGATCTGTACAACTTTCAAGAAAAATGGCAACAATTTTGAGATTTTTCTTTTATTAAAATATTACAGTTTTTTTAAAACCGTAACTTTTATGTCCTGTTTCAGTTTGTCTATGTATTTTAATACCCCCAGTATGTAATTTTGCAAAGAATAAAAAGAATTATCAGAATTATAGAAAGAAAACTAATATTCTTTAATACTATTTTCTTCAAAAACTTTATGATCAACAAAATAAGATTTAAAATTAAATTCACTGCATTTTTCTATAAATTTATTTATTCAACTTATTCAGTAGTGATTATTTAAAGATATATACTGGTGAAAATATTACAAAATTAGCCTATAAACATAACACTTACTTTCACACCATATTAATGTAACTGGCAGTTCCTCTGGTTATTGGGATTAAATTTAAAGTTATTTACATTCATTAGATATCATTTAAATACTATCTCTACACCTACAATTGTTGAGTGAAATAATAAGTGAAACAACTAATACTAAATATTAATACTGTACAATATAATAGTATCTAGTAGAATATTTTGTTTTTGACAGGCCAACACTTGTAAGATTTTCTTTAAATCTCCTTAAACTTACAAAAAATAAATTTTTAGTACAAGAATAAATAAAAGAAACAGCCTGTATGTTTCTCTTAAAAGGATGTAAATAAGCTACGGGAAAAGGTCAGCTTAGCTCACTACTATGAATAAAAGAGATACTTATGCTAAAACTGCCTGATGTGGAAGAAAATGAAAAAAAGGGAAGAAAGAATGCTGAATCAACGCCAACAAATAAAAATAGTATTGCACTTGAAATATATTTTTGTGTCAATAAATATTGTTCATAAAGAAAATCGTATAACTTGGAAAAGAAGTATTAGTGACTTTCAGTCACTCATATGTAAAAAAAATAAATTAGGAAATCAATCTAACAAGTGTATAAAATTCTCATCTAAGTATAATCACCTATGATTTTTTAATGTTCCCAAAACAGCTAAACTGACAAACTGGTGCATTTTACTTGAAAATTTTAAGACAATTGTAACCTAACCAAGAAATAATGACAATTTCTTCGTTAGGAACTTTGGATTTTGTACCAACTGATTCTTATATTTATTCTCGTTTCTGCAAAAAGCACCAGTTTACCATAAACGCCAAATAAATAAATACATCATTCTGTGGATCCCAAATCTATAAATAAAATTCGAAGTCAAAAATCACTTATATACAAAATACATAAACACACATTAAAACTAAATGATATCTACAAACATTGTATTGCAAATACGCCCTTTTGTAATAATATAAAATAAATTTATAACATTACTACTAAGTTTTAGAAAATTCAACAAAGTTGAGCACCAAATAATATAATAATTACTAAGTAATAAATACAATTCTACTTAACATTAAGTTTTCGTCAGTATTCAGGTTACAAGTATAAGACTATAAAATAATTTTAAATTAGGATAAATACCCCCCTTTTGTTTCCTTTCTCTCTTTTCCCTGTGGGTTAAAAAAGAGAAAGATTTCTGTGAGGCTATATCATTAATACTAATAACAAACTTTGTTTTAGTTAATCTTCAGTTCAGGAAACTGGACACAATAAATAAAATATTAAATTATATCTTTATATAATACTAAATTTATAAGTCATGTTGGTTTTGTGTGGATAACAACTGTTTTTATAATTGACTTGCTATTATTTTTAATGGATACTAAGGGAAATAATTTTAGAACCAGATGATGAATTTAGAAATAAGTTTTAAACTGGCTCATTGCAGTACTTATTTACATCTCTGAATTAAGTGTCTGAATTATATTCAAAAGCTAAGTGAAATTTTGTTTGGTATTCTACACTTCTGAATCTATCTTGAGTAAAAATTTACTAATTGTCAAAATTAACTTACACATTGTGAGTATAAAAAATACGTTTTAATATTACCATTGTTCATTGGTACTAATTGCATCTCTGAATCATGTCTCAATTTTGTTTGGTAGTCTGTACTTCTGAATCTATCATGTCCCAATTACATTCGAAAAATGAGTGAACATTTACTTCAACTGTCAAGAATACCTATCATTTATGTATCTATTTTCTTTTAATATTTTGCATCTCTGAATCATGACTTCATTACATTCGGAAGTTGAGTGAAAATTTACTGCAACTATTAAAAATAACTACTAAATTCTAAATATATTAAACGAATCTTGACAACTATAACTATTTTACTTTCAGCAGGACCTTGGAATCTAGCATATCTTAGTTATGTTCAGAAGCTGACGAAAATTTCCTTTGCAGCTTTCAAAAATATCTATTAAATTGTTAATATAGATTTTGATATCATATAAGCCGTTGTCCATTGTAATATTTATGCCTCTGAATCATGTATCAATTCCATTAGAAAGTTGTGTGAATATTTACCAGTATCAAAAATAACTATCAATTAACCATTTTTCGATAATATACAGTTAACGAATTATATCTAATTCATGGGTCAATTAAATACAGAAGTTTAATGAAAATCCATTGTCCATAGTTTAGACTCCATACTACACAAAACCTATCGAGAGCATTATTCCCTAGACTGATGAGCCTCCCCAGAGGCTTTTCCGTTGAGAACTAGCGAACTTTCTCCCACTTTCCCGTTTTGTTCAGTCCTATCGGAAGGTGTCGCTGAATTCCTCATCCTCAAGAACCTCAGTCCCATCCAATTGGAGAATGTACTCATGGGTATGGCTCCGTTGCTCTGCAACGAACGTTCTGCTAGGTGTTCCTTTTGCAACTGGTACCGATAGAGGAGAGAACCAGCGACCTTGAATTAAGAAAAGACATATTTGCTACATTATTGTGTGATGCAACTAGTCAATTCTGTAGAAAGTGGTAAAATATGCTTTCTAATGTTATCTATTTCTTCAGAATTTCTAGAAAACTTAACCTAATGGACAATATATCTCGGCTAATTATAAAAACTATTAAAGGGATGCTAATGCATGTTTTTTTTCTGTTACTTACCAAAGCAGACACAACTGCTGACACTGCCACCAGAACAAAAAGTAGGCTAAAACCTGGCACGGGCATGCAAATTCCATACACAACCTCCTCTCGGATTCTACCCTGGAAAACAGTGACAGCTTCTGCGCGGCTATCTGGACTAAACGCTAGGTCCGCCTCGGAGATGACCTCGTACAGGCCGCTGACACCCACATCCGCGCTGCGAGCCTTCCTGTCCGACACCACCACGGAGCGTCGCTTTCTTTTGGCCATCGGCTCCTGGTTTGACTTGGAGATGTTCTTTGTCTTGGTGTGTATGTCGGTTGTGCTATCTTCTGAAGAAGAGGTGGTTTGAGAGGGTTTGAATTCGGATTGAAGGCTTCTTGGGGAGGCCACCATGGGGTCAGAGAATGTCCTAGGGCCGTGGGGGAACTTGTCCAGGGCGGGCATAGGGTGGACATCCTAAAATCAACAGAATCCAATTTCCAAATATAATTCATCAAAAAAATTATATACCTGACCCCACTTTCCCCTAATAGTAATAAGTTTTTTAGAAGATTGTAATCTCAATCTGACGAATGACGACAGTAGATCAGGTCCGTACTGATATGATCAATCTTGGTGTGGAACGCAAGATACTTTAAAAATTTGTATTCATATATTTATCAACAACATTATTAATTAATACTCATTTGCAAATAGGTATGATTCTGCTTTTTGGAGAAGCTCGGAAAGGTTCGAAATTAGCAGTATTGGTTTATATCTGTCATAATGAATATAAACAATTGAAAGTATCTTCATTTTCACAGTAACGTTGATAAAATCAGAAACAAACTTGTATAAACTAGAGTTTTCTCTATACATATATATTACTTTATATCTTTTGAACGGGAAGAGCTCTCCATTTTTTTCTTAACGGGCTTATATGGTTTCGTTTGATGTAAAAAACATTTGTAAAATTAAGAAAAATAGTTTGAATAAAAAGTTCGAAATAAATTCAGTTACAAATGCTTATCTCATCATGCCACGAAGATTTCTGTTTGTGTCTTCCTATTTGCTGTTTCCTGTAATGGGTTACATGTTACACTATGCAATGATTTTAAACTTAATTGTATTGTTTGTTTATAGTTAGTGTATTTGTGATATTTACTATTTTACTATTTGTTTGTGTTGCATTAATCTTAATAATACAGAGCGATATACATAGAATAATTAAAACTGACGTCACACGTAAATGTTACCAAAGATATTAAAAATTACTGCCATTTGACTAAAATTACTTTCCGTTTTCTTCGATTTCTGACCGACACGATCTGTCAATTCGTTTGTGCTTCGTGTTTGCTTGTTATTGTCTTTATTTGTATTCGCCGATTGTGTTCTATTTGAATTTATCGTTAACCTTATAGATAATCAGTGTTTCTCATCGTTAATCATCTGTTAACTGTAATGGCTATAAAAATAATAAAAATTATTATTATTATTATTATTATTATTATTATTATTATTATGTTTAAATATTTGTTATATTTTGAAGGTATGTTCAGTTCGGGANGCCATATCAGTGGGATAAATGCCTCGCAAATCGCTCTGTTGTGTCAAAAAAGTCCGCCACTCGTGTTATCGCTTAATTTCTAACGCCATTAATAATGACTATGATAAATTAGCGGCTAGTCGTGGTTACACCTATACGTTTAATGCAAAATAGTGCGATAATTAACGGCATTAGGCGTTAGTGTGGCCCTGCAATATCGCCTAACGTCTAACGCTATTAATAATGATGATGATAAATTAGGGCGCTAAGTCGTGGTTACACCTACGTCTAAAGCAAGATAGTGCGATAATTAACAGCGTTAGTGTGGCCCCAGCATTAGGGTCTTTCAATTTGACAAAAATACTATTTTTTTAATATTAGCAGCTAATATCAGTTCAATTTTTATTTTATGAAAATGACTTTTAAAGAAAGAAAACTAAACATTTACGGGTCTATTTTGCTTCTAAAACGAAAATGCTATAATATTCGTGTTTAGCTACCCCAGATTAAGTACAAAAAAATAATAAAAATTATTATTATTATTATTATTATTATTATTATTATTATTATTATGTTTAAATATTTGTTATATTTTGAAGGTATGTTCAGTTCGGGATTCCCTGTAAATTTCACAGAATTAAAACTAATAAATCACTTTAATTTTTATATAATCATGCATACAATTCAATTGGCACACAATCTAGTTTCCACGAAAATCTAAGTTAGTTTTGCATAAAAGGCGTCTAAAACTATTCTTTGTTCCAGTGAATATTGACTGGTTTTTTGATATCCTTGTGAAACTTATAATCCCATTCCCATATACAACAAACATAAATCGCTGTAATCATTACCTCTGCCAATAAAAGTAGATAACTCCCAGGGTCAGGCTTAGCAGACATAGAAGCCTCCCTATTGATTTTTTTTACTGTGGTTCTCAAGACTTAGAAATTTCAACCAATAACGTAACGGAAAGTTATAATCGGCTAGCTACATTAATAAATTATAATGATCAGTGTATAAACTGTCAATTCGTGTAAAATTTCAAATTTATGAACATTTCAGCCTTTCCCATAAGCCGGAAGATGAGAACAGTGTAACTGCAAATTTTATTGGATAGTAAGAGTAATCTCTACAACTAATCGCTGATTAAAGTTGTGTCTTTACTATTTATATCTGGCGCTGATACAAAAGGAGTTCGTGACGTCGTATATCTTCAAAGACAGACAGTAATCGTTACTACCTCGTTAACTGTTATTTAATTATTTCCATTTTTTACACTAATTTAAAGGATTTAATCTGAAGATCGTCAAACATAGGTTAAGTTATTTCCTAATTCCCTTGTATCATGTAAAATTTTGATATAGCTCTGGATATTGTACTTGCTTAACATTTATTTCAATTAAAAAAATATTTGATATGGTGATTTGTGTTAAATTCATTTTCAAATTGTTAAAGCGCGATTTGTATTCTGGGTCAAGTGACTTAGGACAAATCTGTGCCACTTTTGGTGGAACATATACCATGTGACTTCATCAAGATTCCACTGAATAAAAGAAAATTAATTTAAATAAATAATTGCTAATTTTACAGTTCTATGATATATAAATTAAATTTGTAGTTTGCAAAAATACGCGGCCAATAACATCTCGTGTTATGGTTGGTTTCTATCATGATTCTCTTTTGAAACCTTAAAACTGCTTGGAGGAGAATAGAACACTCTCTTGTTTGGATGTCAGCAACTTGTTCTTCCAATCTGAATGGCATTTTATGTGTTAGACTTTCAACTACGCCTTTTTCCGACTAAATTATACTAAATTTTAAACATTTTTTTGGATTTTGAATATTTTTTATTACGAGTTGTGATTGTTTATTATGAATTGTTATTGTTAATACTTATTTTGGTCGTTCACTATGTCTGATTGGTACTTTATGCTTTTTGGATGTATTTATGGAATTTGATAGGAACTTTGGTATGAAGAACTTGAAGGCTATTTTTTATTCATATTTTAGTATTTTTTATACAATGTCTTTCGTTATTTTAGGCAATCCAGTTTTCATATTACATTTACATTCCATATTGAAAAATACTATACAAATAAACGAATATATAGATATATGTATTGCAATATAAAAAGCTACTTGCCTTTTTAAAACGTTAAAATAACACATACGAAGCAAAGAAATCAAAAGTTTTACTATGCAAAGCGTTACTATGTTTTTAAAAGAGGCTCCAGACGATAAGTTCTTATTAATGAAAGTGGTACTAATATTTGATTTAAATGGGGCATGTCGCGTGCAGAATTGTGCAGTTTAACTGTTAAAGTTATAGAAGACATGGGTAAAATTTTGGTTATAACTTTACAAGATACCAAAACCAAAAACAAACGTGTATTTACCGTAGGATCAGAGTTGAACGGATATGAAATTTATCATAAGTATTTACAATTGAGACCAAAACAAGTGAAACACAATATATTTTTTAATTAATATAATCACGGTAAGTGCACAATACAACCAAATGGTAGCAACAGTTTTGCAAAAATTCCTCAAAGATTTGCAGAATACTTAAAACTCCCAGATGCATCCAGTTACACTGGCCATTGCTTGAGGAGGACGTCTGCCACCTTCCTCGCTGACAGTGCAGCTGATATTCATATACTTAAAAGATACGGAGGATGACAGGCAACTAGTGTGGCTGAAGGTATATCGAAGAAAGCGTCAATAAGTTGAAATTTTCAAAAAGTGTATTTGATCAGCAAGAACTAGTGACACCTCAAGATTATTCAGGAATGCAGAGAATGATAATGGTTTTCAGAAATAACAAGTAGAATAGAATAAATTTCGTGTTGTTAACTTTCCAAATTTGAATAATTGTACTTCCTAATATGTTTGCAGTATTTAAATAAACAATTTTCTGTCAAACTGCTTTTATTAACAATGACATTACTATATAGGCTGTCTCACGGTAACGGCCCATTAGAATTATTTCAGAGACTACTTCGATTCGAATTTTCAAAATTTGGGATGCCCTTCTCAACTAAAATAATGGCGTCCACGTACCACTTCCGGTTATACCGGAAGTCGCCATCAATTTGCTTATTTTAAATGGAACACCCTATATATTATTGCAATTTTGGATACTTCGTGTTATTTTAGGTAGACTTTTATGAAGTTTCCCTATTCCTAAAATTAACCGTTTTCGAGAGAAACAGTGACTAGCTTCAAAACATGTGTATTTTATAGTAAGAAAGATAAAGCAACAATATTTATAGGGCTATTTAAGTGGCTTAATTGCATACAGGGTGCTAGAAATTTAATGCCGAGTTTAGTTCTTCAACTTCAAACCTTCATAAGTCGTTTTTTTTAATGAAACACCGTGTATGTTTTTCTATATTTTATATACACAATTTTATTCTCTTTCGAACGGTATCAGGGTTTCCTATACTTATTTCTTCTAGTTTTTGAGTTATCTACTATTTTTTGTGTAATCACCTAAAATCATGTAATTTCTTGCTGTGGAATTGTTAGCAAAACTTCAAAACAAACAAGTAAACGGTCAATTTGTTGTTAGTCTCTTGCAGTGACAGTTTAATTTAGTGTTTATAGAAAATGGAAAACAATACATATTCAAATGCTGATATTTTAAATTTATTATTCATTCACGGACGTTGCAATGGGATTATAAGCAGAACATGTAGAGTTTTTAATGAGACATATCCAAATTTGCCACCAATGAGTAACAAAAAGTTAAGAAGAATTTTAGCAAATCAACTAGAGTATGGTCGAATTTGTGCAGAAAGAATTTTACCAAAACCAATAACTTCAAATGAAGATAATGTAATAAATGCGGTAGCCTATTTTAATGTTCATCCAGAATCCTCAACTCGTGCCGCAGAGTATGATTTAGGCATTTCACGAGCGTCCATTCACAGGATGCTAAGAACTAATGATATGCATCCATACAAATTTAAGCTACTTTCTGCTCTTTATCCATTTGACGCCGTGCAACGTGTACAATTTTGTGAAACGATGGTTAGTGCAATACCAAGAAGATCCACAATTTTTGCAACATAATATATGGACAGACTAGTCAAAATTTACAGAAAAGGTATTTTTGATAGACAAAACTCATTTGTGGTCATCTGAAAATCTCATGTTATCAGGGAAAGAAACTTTCAAAATAAATTTAGCGTAAATGTTTTTTGTCTAATTAAAGATAATCAAATTTCTTACCATATCTACGAAGAAAATTTAAATGCCGACAGGTATCTCAATATTTTGCAAACAGTTGTGGCAGATTTTCTAGATGATATACCTTTAGTCCAACTAAGGAAGTGTTGGTCAATTACACGGGGCTCCACCTCACTGTCACAATCAAATCGATCAACAGCTCACTGAAATGTTTGAAGATAGATGGATGAGACGCCTAGGACCGTGGAATTGGTCAGTGAGGTCTACCGACCTCACTCCATTAAATTTTTATGTTTGGGCAGTAGTAAAGCAAAAAGTTTATTTTACACCCGTTGCTTCAAAAGAGGATTTGATTGCTCAAATACGAAGAGCGTTCCATGAATTACCTGCAGCTGAAATAGCAAAAGCGGTGACTGGTGGTGTTATCTCTAGAATCCACAAGTGCTTAGCTGTTAATGGGGACTTATGACTTTTTAAGTCATTTTTTTTATTTTAGTGCATTATTATTATCAACATACATAATTAAAGTTGTGTATTACTATGTATGAAGTTGATTTTTAGAATTCTTCTTAACTTTATTCTGTCCATTGGTGGAAAATTGGGACATGTCTCATTAAAAACTGTAAATGTTCTGCTTAGAATCCCATTGCAACGTCTGCGAATAAATAATAATAAATAACTGGTGACAGTTTAGTTGTTTCTTTTGTAGTTTTGCTAAAAATTCCACAGCTATCCTCACAAGAAATTACACGATTTTAGGTGATTATAATGAAATAATTCTAATGGGCCGTCACTGTGAGACACCCGTATAGTAAAGTGACATTTCATATGGTAAAGTGCCACTTTAGTAAACTATTCTGAATTTAACAAAATAGCATATTATCAGTCAAAATGCGAAAAACAATGTTACTGATCAGAATTCTGTCCGTTCCAACACCAATACTGCCTATGCCGACGTTGGGATTAGTTTGCATTGGCATGGTTTATTACGCGGTCCGAGCATGCAGGTGTCCATACCGGCAGATATCGATTATTCAAATCGCTATATTAATGCGAATGTAGTTATCCTCTCGACGACAAATGCTTATGCAAAGTAACCATTGCAGGCCGGCGTCGCATAAGCTTCTCGATAAGACCGCGCTAAACCGGTAACAATGCCCATAACGATAATGACTGCTGACTGCGAAAGGCAGGCATCCCGATGCGTGCAGCAAATTGCGAGGCAATTGCCAATACGCGGAATTGAACTGTTCAGTCCGCAGCCGAGAAACAATAAATGTTCTATTATAACACTTCCGATATAATAAATGAAGCTGGCAATAATTAAGCCTCATACCTTATGGGGCAGCGCCGTTATATCCAGTTCAGTCTCGTCGTCGACGGCCAGCAGCGGTGCTTCGTCCGGATCCTGTGATGGCCTCTTGGCGTTCAAGGACATCTGCACGGCGGGGAGGCCGTCTTCCTCGGGGCCGCGATCGTCGTGTATGACGTCCTCGTAGAGCATGTCCTCGGGGAGGGCCTGCTCCACGGTGTCCGGCACCCTGGAATGTCGAAAATTCTCATAAAAATGGACATGGAATTAAGTTAAATAAACTGCACAAGTTAAGATCACACTAAGTCTTATACTTGTACAGAGTGCCCTAAGATTAAAAGCAGAAAACTTAGGATATCGTTAAATTTGTAAATCTTAACCGTTTTTTAAGGATAATGCTATCGATTAAGGATAATAGGATTTTTTGTGAGATTTTGTAATGCTGTTTAATATTTTTTTATGTTTTTATGACATTTGTTGAGACTCAAAGAAATTGAAGTTTTAGTTTTAACTAGAGATGTGCCGCGGGCATGTCAGCTGGACATGTCCATCGGACATGTCGTGAAAAGTGGACATGCCCTGAGGACACTTTTCAATATTGAAAAGTTGTTTGCGCATGCGCGGAATTATTTGTTGTATTCATAATTCCCGCAAAGAATTTTTTAGGTTGGTACATGTAAAATTAAAGATATTTAGCCATTTTCTTGTAATTTTGTTTGTAATTGTTGTAAAATTACTTAATGCTTATTTCAACTTAATGCTTAATGCTTATTTCAACTCCTTCCAAGAGGCAGAAATTTTCGAAAAATTGTTGAGAAGTTGCACATGCATTAGTAGAAAATTAGTGTAAAATTTGACTATTAAACCTTTTTTTATTTTAGTTTTATTTTTGACAACTTTGAAGGCTTGTAACTCAAAAACCTAAAATTTTTTATTTAACTTCTTTTCGTAGATCGTATTTATTTATCGTCGTGAATATTCAGTCAAACGTTAGCGATGAAATTTGCGAACACCCTATATATATAAAATTTTTCCATTTATTTAGAAAAATGTTGTCACATACTATTTTTGTTACTATGTTTTGTTAACAATGGAATCAAAATATTTGAATATAATAGATAATACTTATAAAAGAAATAATTTACTGTCTTAAAACATATTTGAAATGCTACCAGAACTATGTAGCCGAACAAAGAAGTTTAAAGCCTCTGTATAGTCACACAAGTCGTTGGACAGAACAACAAAGTTTCAAGAATTATATTTAGAAAGTTTTAAATACAAATTTTCTTATTTGCCTACAGAAAATTACATCCTCTGTCATTGTTATGACTTCGTCTAGATTTAAATGATTTAATTTAACTTTTTTCTTTTCATCAAATTAATTATTTTTTGGAAAGTTTGTAAACTCCATTAACGAAAGGGTCAAACACTGACTGATAACGTTCCTTCACTACCCGTGAAGAAAGTGTCTACTTTCCATCAGTACAGTTGATTAATGCTCAGGCCGCTGGGTTCGAACCCCTCGGTTTGAGCAAACCACTAGACTACCGACCGGTATGTAAAACAGTTCAAAATGTTCAAATTTATAAGAATTCTGAAAAATTTGAAAAAATTTTGTGATAGAAAATCCCCTCATGCTAACCCGACTATCATGTATATATTTTAAAGAAAAATAATATATACGAGAATTTAATGGGAGACACTGCCAAAAAATTGATAATCAAAAGCTTTGCTTTAGTCAAAATTTTATAAACACAAATGAAGGTAACCATTTTCCATATTTGTCGATGATCAACCATGTCACCCATTAGTCAAAACAGTTCAACAATGACTTCTTGCTTATGAACAAACAAAATAATATATTAAAGGAAGAAATACTACTTGTTCTCGGTTTCCATAAAATACTGTAGAAAAGTGATATCAAAGTTAAAAGATACACAAATATTCTACAACGGACACTAACAGAAGGATCGAACTAAACACTTACAAATGTCAAAAAAAATGAAAGAAGAAACGAAAATAGCAACTGTTTAGATCTGGTTCAATGGATAAAAATGAGAAACATTAACTAAATGCATTATAAAAAATTTTCATTTATTTATTTTGAAGATTTCCCCCCATCCTCGTAGTTTTGCAATGTTTAAAACTAAACTCTTTCGTTAGAAAAGACCAAACAAGTACTGATTGCTTGAGGACAAAGAGAAGCATTGCAAGAAGTAAGATTATCCAAGTCAAGATCTGCAAACTGTATTCATTCTTTGTTTCCAAAATATATTATATAAAATCTTAACGATAAATTTGCATTTGGTTAAATAACTTGAAAGCTGATACTTATCTATGTAAATTTAGGATTTGATTCAGTAGACTTCTACAACGTTTCGACTTACATGTGCGCCTCAGAAGACACCCTATCGTCCTTCCTCTCCAGAGGATTGACGTAATGTAGCAAATCCGGATTCACATCGTCCACCTGATCGGGCTGTAGCTGACAGTGATCCAAACACCCATGCCTGCAGATCTCCACCTTGCATTTGATGTGGACGCTGAGCGCGTCTGGGAATTTAAAAGCGTGGAAGAAGGCATACGTGATAACTGAAGCCCTTTCGTCTGCCCCTCTTGCCTTCAGAAAGCGGCTGATCATCTTTGGACGTAGCACGCATCCGAATTCGTCGGATAGTTGGATGACGTGGCCTCCGCCGTCTGACGCCACGCAGGACTTCACCCGCATGTCAAATTCACCTGCAACAATAAGAAAGTTTATAGACGGAATTGATGGTTTAGTGTCGAGACACATTTAATAAAGCATGAAGCAATCAAGAAATAAGTTAATGTATAAAAGAAAATTTGTTAAAACAAGCATTTAGTGACGTCGTTTTATTTTGGGGTGCATAAAAAATAACTGGTCCGCCATCTTTGGGAGTCCACCATATTGGATTTAGAACGACGTCACTTAGCTAACCATGCATTGTCATCAAAACTAAACGTTTATGCAAAATTTCAGCTTAATCGGTTGGGGATAACTGTTTTAAAATTCAGTTGCGAGATTTGACCCATACTAACAAAGCAAGTTAAATAAAAGCTTATAATGAAGTATTTTCATGCTTAAATTTTCTCTGTACAGACCTTAGGCTTAATATGAAAAGGAAAATAAGAATACATTACAGAAGAAAATGTAACATAGATTCCCTATAAACTATCATGGTCATTGTCGCTATTGTTGACATCTTCGTGAGATATGTTAACTCGTCGTCGTCAATATTGGAGGGTTCCCAGTAGATGATAATAGTCCAAGAGCTAGCTACGTGTGGACTGCACTGATCGACTGTAGTCATGATTTTTTGTTAAAAGTTTCTTATCACATTGACAAAGCCAGAGCCCATCAGTCAGAAGTCGCTCTAGAGGCGGAGAGCGTGGGCGGGCGGTTAAATGCGACAAGCTTTGTCAATAAAAAAATAATCGAATATAGTCATGAAAATTGGTACATTTATAGATTTTAAATGGATAAACATAGAAAAAATTTCGTCAGGTGGTGGCTTAAGCGCTCTCAGAAGCCATAAAGTAGTAAATAGTGAATTGAAAAATAAATCACAATATATAGTTCTGACATTTTGTTTATTGTTAGTTTATAATGCAAATATACTATCTGTAAAGTTACAGAAGTTAAAAGTAAGGCTAATAGTCAAAAAAACATTATTTATCACTGCACGTGCAAATTTTGCCGTGGTTGTTACGCCCGGCGTTTTTGATCTTTTATTGTTAATAAATGATTAAGTATAGTTCTAGCATTTTACGTAGCTAATCTTTATATTATATATAACGAAACAACAGAAGTTTACTCAGAGGTTAAGGCTATGCCAGAGCTACATAAGTTTAAGTGCAATCGAATAAATTGCTATAATTTTTTTTATTTGGTAATGTTTGTTTTCACAATGGTTTTAAATTGGTTTTTCAACCGAAATACACACAGTGCACTTTACTCTGAATCGCAATTTGATGATTCGTCCTGAGTACCATCATCGCTGCTGTACTTTACATCTGTCATGTTTCTTTGTCATTGTAACTGTAATTGAAAACACACACTTTAACACTCGCCATTGTTGGTGGCTTAAAAATTTATTGATACACGAAAAATCTAATGCACAAGCAGTGAACGCTGTTAGAGCTGTGTTGACGCTTAGTTACTACATATTTTGAAAGCCAGGCCAGAATAACGGTCTGACTACACAGGCCGACAAAAAATCCTGTGTTTTTGAGGCGTGAACCTACCCTTCTTTAGTAAAATTTTCTGCTGAATCCGAAAATGATAAGAAACAATTCTGACGTGTAGATTCCCGACCACATACCCTTAATTTCCCCAAAAATTAAAAAAATCCAAACTAGTCATCCAACCTCTTTAGTAAAATTTTCCACTGAATCCGAAAATGATAAAAAGAAAAATTTATGGACTCTCCCCCACACACCCTCAATTCCCCCCGAAAATTTAAACTGCCCATCCAACTTACCTTTTGTAAAATTCGCCAAATCCGAAAATTGCAAAAAATTGTTTAGACGTAAGGGATTCCCCCTGCTCATCCGTATCTCTCACTTGTTTCTTTGAAAAATAAAAATAAATACAAATCAGACGTGGCAACCGTTATAACTTTTATAAAATCTGTCGGTAAAACCAAAACTAAATAATATTGATGAACTAAGTTTCCTTTGCTCGTACACTTAACCTCGCCCCCCAGATATCATTTACAAATTACGATTAGCACTGATGAAATTTTTCAGTGAAAGCTTACTATTTTCCAAAAGCTCTTAAGTAACATTAAGCTAGTAGCATGCGGAAAGTATTTTCTAAAACGTTTTAGCATTTTAACTTCGCATTCAATTAAAATGCGAGTTTAAGCCCTGGGGCCACGTCAAGGCGTCTACCATCCCAGAGTAAGATATAACCTAGATTTAGAAAATACCTACCTAGCTTAAAGTTACTTAAGAGCTTGAAACATTTTGGAAAACAATAAGCTTTCAATAAAAAATGTCATCAGAGCTAGGATGCTAACCGTAATTTGAAAGTGCTAGCTGGGGGCGAGGTTAAGTGTACGAGCAAAGGGGGGATTTTAGTTAAAAAATATTTTTTTGTTTTTATTTTATCGACAGATTTTATAAAAGTTATTAGTCCAATTAACTAAGCCTTTAAATCGAAATTTTGTCAGCTTGGCTGAATTTTTGATATGAGTTAGTTTAAGGTACATTATAACAATAAGTGAGAGTAATTTTTTGTTCAACCCCCGGCCAAGGGTGGAAAAAGATAAAACAAAGGGCTTTTTCAAGATAACTCAAAAAGGGTAAGAGCTAGAAAAAAACTTTCTTATTAAAAATTAAAAAATATATCTATTTCTCTGAAAAGAAAAGTTACATATTTTAGAGCAGATTGAAAAAAAAATTACAAAATTCAATCATTTTTCTGTTTGTTATGATTTTTTTTAAATTTCAGAAATCTTCCCTTAACTTCTAGCCTCCATAACTCTGTTAATTGTAATAGTACAAGAAAAAGTTAAGAGGCCATTTTTATGAATTTAGAATTGTCTGCTTTACAACTTTCATGAAAAACTTTTTTTTCTAGCTCTTACCCTTTTTGAGTTATCTTGAAAAAGCCCTTTGTTTTATCTTTTTCCACCCTTGGCCGGGGGTTGAACAAAAAATTACTCTCACTTATTGTTATAATATACCTTAAACTAACTCATATCAAAAATTCAGCCAAGTTGGCAAAATTTCGATTTAAAGGCTTAGTTAATTGGACTATTATAACGGTTGCCACGTTTGATTTGTATTTATTTTTATTTTTGAAAGAAGAAAGTGAGAGATACAAATGCGTAGATGGATCTCTCACGTCCAAACTATTTTTTTGTCATTTTCGGCTTCAGCGAATTTTACTAAATATAAGTAGATTGTATGACCAGTTTGGATTTTTTTGCATTTTTAGGGGAATTGAGGGTGTGGGGCAATCCATACGTCAGAACTTTTTTTTTATGAATTTCGGATTCAACGAAAAATTTTACTAACGATGGGTAGGGTAGGTTGGATTGCCAGTTTTGATTTTTTCAATTTTTGATGGGAATTGAGTATGTGAGGAAAATCCATACGTCAGAAAATTTTCTTTTTATCTGTTTCGGATTCAGCGGAAAATTTTTCTAAAGATAGGTAGGGTCATGTCGCAAAAACAAACAATTTTTTTTGTCGCCCCGTGCTATCGTCTTGCGCGCTATACTTTACTCATAGTCTTAACCTCTGACTAAACTTCTGTTGTTTCGTTATAACATAAATATATATGTAAAGAGTGGCTATGTAAAATGCCTGAACTATATTTATTCATTTATTAACAATAAAAGAATAAAAACGCCGGGCGTAGCAGCCAGGGCAAAATTTGCACGCGCGGTGATCAATAATGTTTTTTTGGCTATTAGCCTCACTTTTAACTTCTGTAACTTTACAGATAGTCTATTTGCATTATAAACTAACACTAAACAAAATGTCACAACTATATATTGTGATTTATTTTTCAATTCACAATTTACTACTTTATCTTGGCGCTTCTTTAATAACATATAATCGAATTTACTAAAAAATTTGTAGTTTAATTCATTCATTCTCAACAATATCGTTTATTTCATATTGGAACCTTATAAACGAAGTCTTCATAAACCCACAGAAACAAAGGTCCGTCCATCAACAGATTAGATCTGTAGAAAGAGGATCTCGATAGTATTCTTGACATATTTTGTTGAAAAAATTGCATTCTATTCGCCATTTTGTATTTTCTTTTCGAGATTAATAACTTACTTAAATAAACTTGGTATTAACCCTCAAGGGTCACACTAGTGCAAAATCGCATAACCTTTTTTTTATAGCTGGCATTTCTCAGGTAGCAGCTGATAATTCCTTTTATGGCCCAAATCCATGCGAATTTGTACTAGTGTGATTTTAGTATGGGCAAAAGTGTGACTGATTTATATCATATAATCTAGAAATAAAGTGAATTAAATTGCAAATTTCCTATTTTTTTCACATCATTTTACTTATCTAATAAACTAGAACATTGTTTATTGAATTATTGTTAAAAATTTCCCAAACATTTTTTTCTCAATAATTGTTTAATTTTAACATGTATTTGTGTATATTTATTTATAATATTGTTTAAATTAATATTTTTTATATAAAATAGTGCAAAATAAACATCAATTTACAGAAAAGGCGGCAAATATCACAAGTTAAAAAAATCCCCATACTTATATACCTATGTCGGGAAAAAGGATCAATCACTGTTTTGACAAGGCCTACTCGTTTTTGTCTGATGACATATGAAAAATAGAAGTTATGTCTAATATTTTGAAACACCCTGTACAGCTAGTATCTACAACCATAAACCATACCATTTCATCGTCCATCTATAGAAAGCTTTATATGTATATAAACGCACATTTTATTATGGCAACGAAATAGTACATTAATAATAAATGTCCACTTACAAATCTTCCGAAGGATTAAAATGTCGACATTAACTACCAAAGATACTAGAAGGAGTTAATAACAGTTAACTTTGAACTAGTCGTATGGTGAAATCACTGATGCAATAGGAAAGCGAATTGATATGTCTTGGCTTTTAACACAGCTAGACGTGGTACTAGAGTCTTTGCTGTCGCTACATTGTTAACAGATAGAGTAACCGCTTATCGGAATTGAAATATGTAGTCATTGTT